CTTAGTTCATTAGAAATGCACCATTAACCGATTGTGCAATACATCAACAGATTGTGCAACACATCCTTTTTACCCTAATGAAGTGTATTGATCACAACCTCACTTCACAATAAAATTGCAACACGGCTAACTTTGAACCTCCTTCCAATCTTGTCCCTACTCTAGTTGCCTTTCTTTAAAATTGCACACAAATGTCATTGCAAAATGTGTGTGTCTCCTTCCAATCTTGTCCCTACTCTAGTTGCCTTTCTTTAAAATTGGACACAAATGTCATTGCAAAATGTGTGCGTCGTAGAAAATTTGAGGAAAACCGAATATTATACACGAATAAAATAAACTTTATAAGTGCATCTCACTCCCATGCTATAGGTACTTGGATCTTGGTATGATGGAATCGTGGTTCCGAATAATATTGGGGCCATGATCTTGGGCATGCGGATCTGGATCTTGCTTGTTAGGGACCTCGTTTCCAAATAATAAGAATCGAGGTCCCATAACTCTGGATATGAGATACAAATAAGTAAGGAAGCGCAAGGAATCAAGATCCGGCCACTCGGAGCGCGAGATCGAGATTCCGGGGAGGAAGCGAACCCCTACATGGGCGCTCCCAATAACTATGTGTGGAACTTCTACAATGAGTAGGAAGTTTTGGTTTCCAGAGTCAAAACTTCTTGTGCCAACCACCCCCAAAAGGAAAATTGGATTTTGAGTTCCTAAACACTCACTCTCCGAAAATTGGACGGTCGCTGTTGAATTTTATAAAGTTATTTTTTCAAACAAATATATAGGCCATATTTAGCATCTTTATTTCCTTTTTATTATTTTATTTGGTTCGTCGCTAAGTTTATGAAGTTATATCCCCAAAGGGGTCTCTGAAAATACTCCTAAGTAGGATTTTGCCTAAGGAAGTGAATCTAGGATATGCTTCTGCAAGAGCATATAAATGTTTTGCCCAAATTAGACTTGACTAGGTAATGTGAGTTGATGCCACACCCAAACCTCTAAGTCAGCACTTGCATGGATTCTAGGTGCAAGCCAATTCAAATGAACTTATGTTTTGCATATTGACCCTATGGCCCATAGCTAATTAAAAACAATGAATGAAGAGTCAAAGGTTCGTGGAGAAGAAGCATCAAGGAAAACTAGAGCATCATCTGCATGTAAGAGAGGGGATAAGATAGGGCCAAGATGAGAGGAGGAGAAACCCGAAAGCATCCCACTCTAGTAAAACCCTTCAATGGACATACTCAAGACATTGGCCACAATCGCGAAGAGAAAGGGGATGGGTCCCTTTGCCTAAGGCCCCAAGAGCCTGAGGAAAAACATCGTGGTATAGTTGCTGGAAAAGTTTATGATTCCGAATCATTTCTGAATCACGTGTATCAGAAGTTTCGGAATCTAGAAATCGTTGTCCGTACGATTCAGATTTGAGAAAAATGATTCTCACTATTTCTGAATAGCGATTCAAAAAATTAGGAATCGTATTTCCTATTTGCAAGAATCGATGTCCCTTCATGTTGGAATCGCGTTATCACACATGACCCCACTTGTTTCGGTGGTTGCTGGAATCATGATTCCTAAAAATATGGAATCGGGATTCCTAAAAATAAGGAATCGTGATTCCTAAAATTCTAGAATCATTGTCCCCATCAACTTGGAATCAATATTCTCACCATTCTGGAATCGTGATTCTCCCCATATTACAATCGAGATTCTCCCCTTACTAGAATTGCAAACCAATTCCCTCCGATATATGATAGAAGCATTCAAAATATATATAAATGTACCCATTACTACAAGATCGAATTTTGGTATGTATATACTTAGTCCACGACTCCAAGTACTAATGTCAACCTTTATGATATCTTTGTGGATAATCCCATACAATGGACTTGGTCTACCGATAACCCTAAGTCTGAAGCTAGTCTATGGCATACAAGGAGTGAGAACAAGGGCAAGCTCCCTTTATCTCCTTTCCTTGAATTATAAAATGAATACATGACATAGTAATTCTTCTTGTTAAATGTAATTTTGAGTCTTTTGACTTTTGAAAATTGAGTTATTCAATTTTTAGTCAGTCTCTGATATTTAATGATTAAAACCTAAAACGCCACACAGGGCACTTCGCTCCTATCCTTATTATCTTCTTATTTTACTTAAAGAAAAGCATTTTTATCCTCCTATTCAACTTGAAGAAATGACGGTGTCGATCATATATTAAACATTATTACATTAGTAGTTTAGTACCCACACCATTTACCAAACATTATTAAATTTGAAGTAACGTATTTTTTTAGTATTATTTATTCTTTGTAAGAGTTCTTACAAAGTAACATGGAATGAATGATGGAAATTAGTAAATAAGAAAATAAAAATTTTAATATATTACTTATATTTTAAATTTTGATTTATTACCGTGTGCAACAACTTCAAATTCTCTCACACTCTCATACATGTTGCGCTTACTCATAATTGAGCACACATCGAAGGGTTTCTGTTGTCCCTATGCTCACATATTACTCATATTTTAAATTTTGATTTTATTGCCATGTGCAACAACTTCAAATTCTCTCATGCTCTCGTACACGTCTCGCTCACTCATGAGAGCACACATCGAAGGGTTTCTGCTCTCCCTATACTCACATTGCTTCTTGACAACATGGATTCGCAATTCCTTAATACTTTAAATCAACGTTTAGCATAAGTAGAACTGCATTATTGTGTAGCAAGGAATCACGATGCCTGCGATATAGAAACTTTATTCCAAACAACATGGATTCGCAATTCCAAAAAAATTGGAATCAGCATTTCTCCCAAGCAAAATCACACTCTTGTGTAGCTAAGAATCACAAAGTCCTCAATATGGAATCTTGATTTTGGCAATCCAGGAATCAAGATTCCTAAACTAGGTGGAATCGCGTTCCACAAAAAATGGAAACATGATTCCTTTCTTTTAGAATTGACTTTCGCCAGGGGAAATGCCGAATCGAGATTCTGAAACGGAATCGCTACCAGCGATTCGGGTAACTATACATCGTGGGGAGCTATCTATCAGAACTGAGAAACGAGCAAGGATGGGCAACCTTGCATCCATTTCCTCCATTTGGACCCATACCCATGCATTTGCTAAGAACACCTCTGTCCACTTGGTCATATGTTTTTCCAAGATCAAGCTTATATGTCAAACCAAGGATTCTTGAGAGGATGTGTTTTTTAATGCACTCATTAGCGATGGGGGCACTGTCCAGGATATGCACACTAGTAATAAGAGTACCTTGGTTGGAGATATGACTTGGTCCAAAACATGATGAAGTCGCAATGCAAGCACCTTGGCCAATATCTGATATGTGCTATTGAGCAAGCTAATCATTAGGAAGGCTTTGACTTGCTTGGCCCCTTTCAGTTTAGGATAAGGGAAATGAACGTAGCATTCATACATTTGATCACTCCTGCCTCTAAGAATTTAGCAAACTAGGCAAGTATGACAGAATCTAGGGAGTCCTGGAATTTACTGAATAAGATATAAGGGAACCCATCATCCCAAGGGTCTTTTCATGTTCTAAATCCACTATTGCTTTGACGATTCCCAGCTCTGAGAAGGGGCACTCCAACCACAATGAACTTTCTGATGAGATAGATTGGAATTGAATTGAATGTTTTATGCTCAGTATTCTAGGGGCAGTCTCTACAGAGAACAGCCCTTGGAAGTACAATACGATAGATTTGAAAACATCATCTTTGCCTTTCGAAAATGTGAACTTTGACCATGATGTATGCGATAGAGTTCGAACTTCAGCTGCAATTGGCCATTTTGTAAATGGATGAGGTGTTGCAGTCCCCACCAAAGACCCATTTAACCGATAATGTTGATGCCAAAAGATCTCTTCTAGTTTCAAGACATCCTGGAATTTTGCCTTTGCCAGGATTCTAGCATTAACCACACAAGGATACAGTTCTCTCCTCTCCTCCACCATATCTGGCTACTCTATTTCAAACAGGGTCTGCTATTTCTTGGTTTGGAGGGAGCCAAAATGATCCATAGTACAGGCAATTAGCTTCTGCTTAAGGAGTTGTAGATTCTTCCAGAAGCTGGAGCCTGACCAACCATGAACTTCGAAGGAGGGCCACCAAAGTGGAGAAGGGTGTGTGCGCTTCTGTCCTCCAACCACATGTGTATGGAAATTGAACAGTCTAAAGGGGGTGCCTGGGTATCCAGTAGGATGGGAAAATGGTCCGAGCTGGACTTAGAAGGGACCTGCATGATACCGCCTGAAAATGGTGTGCCCACTCCACCTTAATAAGGAGGGAAGACTGACTGTTGGTCCAGGTTAGGAGGGTCCCTTGAGGGGATATCTATGAGGGAGTGCCTGTGCACGAAATCCAAGAAGTCAGCCATGCCGGCTGCGATTCTGCCTCTTTTTCATTTTCCAAATGACCAGCTTGTGACATTGAAATCCCACCAATGCACCACGGTGGAGGGAAGTGTGAGATAGCTTGATCTAATTCAGCCAATGAAAGGCTATGAGAGGGGGATGATTTGGCTGTGGACAACCAAGACGAGCCAACTGGAACTCTTATGAGAAGGACCAATTAGGAAACAATTTTTAATCAAAAATTGCTAAGCCACTTCAAGAGTCAACAAGGAGACTCATCACTCCCACGTCAAATACTATAAAAATACCAATTTGAAATACAGGTAACAAACTTTTAACTAATCTAAAATAATATAAAAAACCAAGTTTCAATGTTGTGCTCACTAATGAATCATGCGAGATGACATTTCCACAGCAAGAAAGCATTTTAATCATGCACAGATGAATATGAAACAAGGGAAGTCACGTATTTTGATTCCTTCAAATTCATGAAGTGCAATCAAAGTACCAGGAAAGAAAGTTGCACTTAAATGAATCAAAACATACAACAATGTCAGTAATAAACAAAAGATACATAAAATACAACACCAATAAGTGCTAATAAGCTTAACGAAGCATCATCTCAACCTTCAATCCTATTGATGTCAGAGGGAGTTATGGGGGCTGCAAGCATTTTGATACACACGTCATTTTCCTTGAGTTCAACTTCAGGAAGATCAACAACCCTGTGCATAAGGTATGGAGGTTCTAATTATATAAAGTAAGAGAATAATCCTACCTAAATTTAATCAGTACTACGTTGAGAAATTCAAGTCAAATACATGTTATCAGGACAGCTAGTGTCTTCAAGACAATGTATTTCATAGAGTATACTTGTATGGATAATTAATTTCAACTCAGAGATCAAGGTGCAAGGCCAACACATGCTACGAAGTACAAACGCAGAGCTTAAGACACTAACTTGCAACATTAAAGTGTAACCACCCTGCAAAATCCCACAAAACACACCTTAACTGGGCATGACACCCAAGAATGTGTAGAAAGTCATTATTGCAAAATCCACCATTGAGATTAATTCCATCTTGTTAGTTTCAAATTTACTGTAAGCATGCACGACGTAATACTAAATGGTAAAGTATTGATTTGAGAAATTTATGAGCATATACCCAAATATTTATGTTATTTAATACATAAAAGTTCTTCCATTAATATGTTCATATGTTTTTTCAGCAATTTTTTTAAATGACCATATTTCGGATCTTCAATATCCAAAAATAAATATTTAGTTATGTTTTAAAATTTTGGATCTTGATAATTCGAAATTAGTGCGTCCAAAATTTGTGAAATTTCGGACTGATTTTCAGATTTTGAATATCTGAAATACAATAAGTTGCTTTGATAACAATATATCAGATTTTCAAGATCCAAAATTTTTGGAATTTTTTGGATTTTGAAAATCCAATATTGTCCCATTGGTACTGGGGCACATAGTTTCCATAGGACAAGAAAAAATTTTGGATTTTCAACATGCACTTTTGGAATTTTTGTATTTTGAAAATCTAAAGTTGTAACTATTGAAAATAAGGTGGTTAAGGTCCCATCCGGTAACCAAACTTTTTGATTTTATATAATTTCAAGCTTTCAAGGTCCGAAATAGGGGGTAGCTTTAGAACACCAAAAAAAAAAGACGAAAAGTTTGGGTATAAATCCAAGGTATAAAATCTAAAGAAGAATTTTTTAATAATGGGAAAGTTTGGGGATATGTGCACAAATTTCTCGACTGATTTTAGCTAATAATAAAAATCAATCTCTTTACAAAAGCCAAATCCTATAGGAAATCCTTAAATATATCTAAACAAGGCCATTACGTACCTCATGGATTTGATAATAAGACTCGGTTGAAGAGAGCAAACACTTTGAAACCTCTTGTTAATTAACTCACAAATTAGCTTTAAAGAAAGCCATGAATCTTTTGTAACAATAAACATATCAGCACTATCAATGTTACACATTTTATTTCAAATAAATTGAGAGTTGCTTTTTTATATTGGATTACAATTGTACGAGGGAATGCTAACTAGTGCGCGAACAACTAGTGGAGAGACGAGCAACTTTTCAATGACAATAGGTCTACATCAGAGGTCAGCATTGAGCCCATACCTCAACTAGGCACCTATAGATGAGGTATCATGGTATATGTTGTTCGCGGACGACATAGTTTTGATTGAAGAGACCCGAAATGGCGTCAACACAAAGTTAGAACTTTGGAGGGAAGCTCTAGAATCTAAAGGTTTTAAAATTAGTCGCACTAAGACTGAGTCTATCAAATGCAAGTTTAGTAATAATAGGAGTAGATATGAGGAAGTAGTTAAAATTGACGGCCAAGAAATACCAAAAAGAACGCACTTTTGATATCTTGGGTCGATAATCCAGAAAAATTGAGAGATTGAAGAAGATGTCGCACATAGAATTAGAGCCGGGTGGGCAAGTTGAAGATGTACAATCGGAGCTTTATGTGATCGTCGCATACCAATGAAGCTGAAGGGCAAATTCTATAGGATAGCTGTGCAACCAGCTCTGCTTTATGAGGCAAATTGTTGGGAGGTCAAGAAAAAACATACTCATAACATGAGTGTAGTTGAGATGAGGATGTTGAGATGGATGAGTGGCGGGATAGAATTATAAATGAATACATTCAGGAGAATTTAGGTGTGGCACCAATAAGTAATACAATGAAAAAAATTAGACTTAGGTGGGTTGGCCATGTGCAATGCACACAACAGCTATTAAGAGGTGCTAATTAGTTCGAGTGGAAGGCTCAAAAAGAGCAAAGGGTAGACTCAAAAGGACATGGTTGAAAGTAGTTAGAAAAGATATATGGATTTATGGCCTCACTGAGGGTATGGCCCCTAATAGAGCAAAATGACGGACTAGGATTCATGTAGTTGAACCCAATTAGTTGGGAAAAAGCTCTGATGATGATGACGATGATGAATGTACAAGTGTTCGATTGTGATAGTTAGGAGTTAATACACATAGCCATGAGCAGATCACATAAAATCACTGAAGTACCCAAAATATCTGAAATAGCCATTAAATACAGCATGATTAACATGCATATGCGAAATGTCTAATTCAACATGATGGAACAACATGTACATATATCAGCATTCCTTAGAATCAAGAAGGTATATATGTCAAGGTCTTCTCGCATGAAAATAACATTTGATAGGGAAACTTATGAAATTACACCTATGAGATGAACTACTTAACATTTTACTCATTTTTTTTTATCTAATCTCAAATAGCGCATTAAAATTCAAATGATTATCAGTTGGAATAGTTGAAAATAGGCAAAATGTAGATCGTTGACTATGAAAAACTTGAGACGTGTCCAAATTTTTCTTTATATTTTGCTTTTTTACATTCTTTTGAGACAGGAATGGGGCTTTATGATGTCTTAAGATTGAGGTTTGACATATTACCAACCAGACATGGAATCCATTACAAACACTTTGTAGTTTTTAAAAGTTACCAGAAATTTGAAAAACTCATCTGAGTGTTTTTTAGTTAACTGTTTAAATCGACCAGTCAGCTCAGTTTTGCCAGTAGGCAAGCCAGCCAATGAGCTCAACTTTATAGTTTGCATTTCTTTGAGGCATGTAGAATGAAAAATATGATAGGAACTTTCTGGGTTTTTCTCATTCAAATCAATGTAAGGAACAAACAGTAGTGAAGTTCTTTGAAATCTGCATTACTTTCAAACACAATAAGTAAACATATAATCTATTGCATCAAAGATCAAGCATTTGACAAGGACAACTTTATTCCAGATTAATGACCAAAGCAATAAACATCAAAATTAAGTTATGGCGATCTCCTGTAAAAAAAATATGAACGCAAGGGAGAATTACTAGAAGGACATGGCTTCATTTGTGAGTTTAAATAGTTAAATAATTACAAAGTTATCTAAAGAACCCAAAAGGTCATTTTGACAAATTTTCAAACACTTACTAAACCAAATTCAATCATAAATTATCCAAAGTTCTACAGTTAACAGAGCAATCAAACGGAATTCCTAAACTAAAATGTTGATATCCTCCAAAGAAAGCAAAGAATCACACGTATACGAGAAAATTAGCAAGAATAAGGGGAAAAAACTAAAATTCATGAAAAGGAGAAGGTAAGGAAGCTTTCTCAGTGACCTGGCAACTTGGTCTGGTTGGCCTTGCTGCTCATAGATAACGGCCTTTGAAGGAGGAGACATGGAAGAAGAAGAGAAAGCAGAATAGAAGGAATGCATGGGATTGTGAAGTGAAGATCCTCCTGCAATTTTAGAGAGATGACCCAATGTCACTGACGATGCTGCCCTAAATCTTCCCACCATTTCTGCTTAGACATGCCACTCTTGCTGCTATCCTCCAGCTCCCCATTCTCTCTCTCTCTCTCTCTCTCTCTCTCT